CGTATGATTTGAAAGTAACGTTTTTCATCTCTTTAATTTTGTCATGACGAATTTTGCTTACACGGTTCCATTCAGTTTTATCTGTTGGATGCCGTGTATTATGCCATGTTCTTCTCGCTCGGCGTTTTTGTTAAACTAGATTTTTTATATTCATTGGGTAGGTAATCTCGCGATTATCGCCTGTTGGTATTATGGGTGTGGCCACTTTCGGCTGCTTTTACGATGTTATTAGTCAGTTGTTCAACAGCATTATCAATTTCAATAGGTGTTCTTAGTCTTCCTGTAAGCGTTAAGGTCTCGTCTAGATTCGATCTAAAGATGTCCCAATCTGTTTTCTTGTTGGTTAGCAACATCTTTCGTTGTTTATGTATAACATTAGAACTTAACGTGAGAAGCACTGGTATGTGATCTGACGTTAGTTCTGTAAGTTCNGTATTATGGGTGTGGCCACTTTCGCTGCTTTTACGATGTTATTAGTCAGTTGTTCAACAGCACTATCAATTTCAATAGGTGTTCTTAGTCTTACTGTGAGCATTAAGGTCTCGTCTAGATTCGCTCTAAAGATGTCCCAATCTGTTTTCTTGTTGGTTAGCAACATCTTTCGTTGTTTATGTATAACATTAGAACTTAACGTGAGAAGCACTAGTATGTGTAGACTGCAATCAAGACATTCAAGATAATGAAGCTATATTAATCTTCTATATGGAAAGTATTACTTCTTCAGTAGCAGGTAGGGAATATTGTTTGGATCAGTGGGCCAATACGTTGGCTTTCTTGTTGTGATGATTTTAGCGTTGATGTTGTTTGCAACTTTTAACAAGGCTCGTCCCTTTGGGGTGATCAATCTCGATCCCCAGTGTGTATGCTTAGCATTATAATCACCTCCAACAATGAATCTAGAACCCATTGTATGGAAAAATTCAGCGAACTTAATTTCATCTGCACCTCCTTGCGGTGGGCAATAAACTGCAGTAATGGTGAGATCGTTATTCCCGTCATTAACGCGGACGCTTGTCGCTTGTATATGATTTACAGAGTATTTTTCGAGTTCATAGTGCTTTATGGNTAGAACCCAACGTATGGAAAAATTCAGCAAACTTAATTTCATCTGCACCTCCTTGCGGTGGGCAATAAACTGCAGTAACGGTGAGATCGTTATTCCCGTCATTAACGCGGACGCTTGTCGCTTGTGTATGATTTACAGAGTATTTTTCGAGTTCATAGTGCTTTATGGACTCTTTTATTATTACAGCAGTACCACCCCGAGCTTTACCACTGAGATGAATTGTCGTATATATTCTGTAATTCCTTATCTTTAGATAGGTCCACGTTGTGAAGTGAATTTCCGAAATAAGGGCTATGTCAATGTTTTCACTGTATAAAAGGTCTTCTTGTTCTTGTCTGTGCTATACTAACCCGTTGGTGTTCCATGCTATGATCCGCAGTGTGTGGTTCATTTCTTTATTTTGTGCGAGGTATTTTTGGACTTTGTCTGGTTTATTTCCAGTTTGTCCATTCTACAAAAATCACAGCAGATTTTTGTTAGTGTCAGCGTTACGTTGGTTAACGCGACTAGAATATCATTAAGAGTAGTGGATTCTTCGTTTCTCTTTGGTTGAGGTGTTTTTGGATGGACTTTTAAAGTACCAGCCATCTGCGCGTATGAAACGTTTGTTGTGGCAGGTTTCTGCTGTATTCTTTGCACAGCAGAGACTTGTTTTGGGTGTGCTCTTTCTATTNCGCGACTAGAATATCATTAAGAGTAGTGGATTCTTCGTTTTCCTTTGGTTGAGGTGTTTTTGTATGGACTTTTGAAGTACTAGCCATCTGCGAGTATGAAACGTTTGTTGTGACAGGTTTCTGCTGTATTCTTAGCACAGCAGAGACTTGTTTTGGGTGTGCTCTTTCTATTGCTTTCTTGTAAGCAGAGCAACCCTTCCAATTGGCTGTGTGATCTTCACCACAGTTTGCACACTTTGCTTTTGTCTTTTTAGATTTTTGACAATCTTCAGTTCTGTGTCCTTCACTACATTTTACGCATACAGACGATCTGTGACGATCCGAGAGCTTGGNGCTATATTCTTTGCATAGCAGAGACTTGTTTTGGGTGTGCTCTTTCTATTGATTTCTTGTAAGCAGAGCAACCCTTCCAATTGGCTGTGTGATCTTCACCACAGTTTGCACACTTTGTTTTTGTCTTTATAGATTTTGGACAATCTTCAGTTCTGTGTCCTTCACTACATTTACGCATACAGACGATCTGTGACAGTAATTTTGTGTGTGCCCGAGAGCTTGGCAGTTCTTACACTACGGTACTTCTTGAAAGAAATGGTTCTATTTTTATTATCTGATGACATAGTAATTTTATGTTGTATATATTTTTATTATTTTCCCGCGGTTTTAAATCTACAAAGAATAATGGTAGCCTTATGTATGTCCACTCGCTGTTTTTGTTTTTAGGATAGAAATTTTTTTTTGATCTGTATATTGGTTATTTTGCTTACTTCGTGGCCTTGGTCATACAGTTCATTGGTAATTATTCCCATATATGAGTCATGATTTATACCTCGTAATACTACTCGAAATGGTTTTTCACTTTTTAATTGGTACCGATGGTATTCAACTTTATTTTCTTCTAATATTTTTATTTTACTTCTAAACTGACTTTCGTTTTTTGTTAAGATTCTCGTCATTCGATAGAACTTTGAAATGTTGTTCGTTTCCTACTGATTCTTCACACGTTAATAATTGTTTTAATTTATCAAACTGTTTAACACCTTTGATAGTTATTGGTGGGAGCTTATATATTTTTTTAGTATACCTTTTTGATTAGCTATTGTTACCTTTTTGATTAGCTTTTGAAGTTACGTTATCTCCTTTTGAAACTGATATGTTAGAATACCTTTTTGATTAGCTTTTGAAGTTACGTTATCTTTTTGATTAGCTTTTGAAGTTACGTTATCTCCTTTTGAAACTGATATGTTAGAAATGGGGATCTTTTTTTCTATGTTGTCATTTATTTTTGTATTTAAAAGTTACGTTTTAGTTGCCAGTATCTATTCACTATTTTCTATTTGTAGTAATTTCTGACTTGCCTGTAGTTCTGCTAATTGGCGGTGGAGTTGTTCGTTGGCGTGTTTTAATTCGGTTAAAATATTTTGCATTTCTGCATAGGTCAGCAGATCAGGTTGCGAAGGTCCATGGCTGAGCACGTCACGCGACGGTGGGAACCACCGGTACGCCGTTGCACAAGCGTACGACCTAATTAATATTATTGTGTAGACACTTACTGATTTCCGATGAGCATGGTAAGCATTTTGATATATTGAATTATTGAAAGAATAAAAAAACAACGCGAATGGACGACGCTCGAAAGCGAGAACATACGTGTTGCTCGTTCAGCAAACAAATCGGAACTGATCTATAATTTATGAAAACTAAAATTATCATTCTATACCAGGATTATTAATATATATACCAATCTAACGTATCATTAAATAAATATATAATGAGATCATAATCTGAGAGATCTGAGCGAAATTAAGTAGATGATTTTATTGTGTACAATGTAGTCAAATCATTAGATTAAGCAGAAATGCTTGAAAATTTAACAGGTTTATTAAGAGTCTTACACTGTGGAAAGAATAATGAGTTTATGTAAAATTTTTTTTTTAAGAGAATTTTAATATCAAACTTTGACGAAAATCGTCTGAGTAAAAAAATTTATAGACCGAATCTGATTTTAAAATTTTTTTTTTTTTTTTAATGTATGGATGTCACTGATTTAATTACATCGGTGAACTCAGAATTAAGCGGACTCTCTTAGTTTCAAAATAATAGATTTTTAATGTGTTAATATTATGTTACGATTAAAATTCTATATTGTCCTAAATGATATTTGTCGTGATCAAATGGTTATACATGCCTATTATTATTCTAGGAGGGATCCCGAGTTCAAACCTGTGTTTTATACAAAATTGTTTGCATTTTATTCCTCCTTAACCTGAACAAGAAAAAAAGAAATGCATTTTGGGTGTACCTAGAAACTCAAACCATTTTAATCGCAAAATACCCATTGTTTTTTGTGCAAACTTTTTTACCAGAAATCTTGTTCCGATGTTCACGTCAAAATAAAATTATTTTAGTAAAATATAACACATAACTCATAGATTAATAATTAGTTGACGACATAGATTAAACAGTATAATAATATAAAAGATTTTAATTACCGTCTTATACAGAAATATATAAAAAAAAAAGATGTATATATTTTGGTGATATTTTAACTTTAAAAATATCAAAATTTTATTCCAATATGTTATAGACAATAAAGTAACTATTTTTTAAACGCATTATAAGATATTCCCCTACAAAATTGTTTACAATGTCATTTGTATCGTACCTATTGGTTATTTAAAAAAAACTCATGTCCGTGGATCAGAAATTTTTCAACATTTCATGTCACGAAAAAAACCTCCGGCTGGATTTTTCGTGAAGAATTTATTAAAATCCAAAATTTTAGGTTTTTTTTCATTAAATAATATATTCACTTAATTCGATCCATTATGGCTTTTCTTACGGTCTTAATCAATACAAGTTCAGATTTATTTAAAATTTCCGGAAAATACTGTACAGTTTTTAAACTTGTATAACTGTTTATTCGACCTATATTAAATTTTCAAACCAATCGAGTAAATCTATAAATTCGTTAAATAAATTTGTTGACAATAATAAAATTAGTCCACGGTCGATATCTGCATAATTTAATAATTCTCAGATAGAAAAAAAATAAAATAAAAACACTAATCACAGTGAAACAAATAGATCCCTTCCTACGCATTGTATCTAAAATGGAAAAAACTATTTAAACGTTATGTATTTTGTGAATAAATTTGTGTCAATTATACCTAAAGATTCTAAATTGATTAAAATAAAATACCCAGATCATAGCTGGCCAAACTAATCCGACCTGTACTTAACAGACGGCTATAGCTATTATTATTATTATTATCGTCTCGAGATTGACGATAAAAATAATAAATCACCGCGACCGATCGGACCGAAAAAATATTATATGCACCGACGATCGCGGTAATCGTTTTTATTGTGTTTTTAGATTTTATCGCGGGACGGATTATGAAAAATACTTATTCGGCGATAAATTCGGTTCGGTGGTAAAAAAAAAATAGGTGTCAACACATACCGGCAGCAACGTCTGCGTATTATTATTAATATTAATTTTTTTATCGAACCGGCGGCATGCCGCTGATCGGTTATCGGCTTTCGGCTGGGCAACGACGCGTTGTTTTACGACCGCTGCGAATTAATTTCCCAAGCGAACGCGATAATTCAAAAAAACAATGTCCGGTCCGCAAACTAAAATCGTAACGGTGCACGGACGTAAGGGCGGCCTACGCGCACTAGATCACGACACGTCTCGCCCCTTCTGAAAAAACAATACGTATATTTTTAATCGCGATTATTGCGCGTTTTAATTTTTCGTTAACAGAAAAAAATAAACGGAAATTAATTATTCGCCATCCGATATTGCAAGCGTTGCAACACGATTAAAACGCGAAAAAAACGCCGTGTCATTCGCGTCCGGTTCGGTGTGGTATCGTTCGGATTCCCGCGGCGCGAACGTTTTTATTCCTTTTTTTTTTCCTATACGCGTGTGCAGCGGTGCAGGCGTTCGTGTATTTAGATTGCAGTCCGTTGTCGCAATCGAATTATTTGAAAACGCGCTTGAATCGCGACGCGACGACGGCGGTCGTATTAAAATATTCCGTTCGAGACACAAATTGTATTCAACGAATTAACCGACCCGTTCTCCGCGGATTCTTACGAAAGTTTTTTTTTTTTTTGTTAGTAACTAACCTGTGTGTGTGATATTAGATTTGTGTGTGACCTATGGAACAGGGCCTGAAATACGTCCGGATTCGGGGGACGCGCTTTTCGATCCAAATTATCGAATTGATAGATTTAAGTAGTCCGAAAAAAAAAAAAGTCCTGCTTTTTATACATTACTCAACTTACGTGTTTATATTAGGTATTTACGAATATCGCGGACTCAACGTTATCAACACAAAACAAATATTACGGTAATTGTATGAAAAATGTTATTACAATGTAAGACAATTTAAAATTAATAAACACGTTTAGAGCGATGATGTCATTGTATATAGTCGATTGGTTACTAATCAGCTTTACTGTTATACTGCTTCAACTAAAACCGATTTGCACGTTATAAAGCTCGGCACGCGCATTTGTAGCCCAGAGGACGCGGCACTTTGATTTTCGGGCGACACACAATTTTAGACCCCGCTATGCAATACAAAAGGAATTGATTATTTTTACGAATATATTACATAAATTACGACGTATTTTATTTTATTATTATATTTCGCACTGCTCGCGCTTATGACCGACGATAAATCAAGTCAGTTGATTTACCGATTCGTTTAACTGATGGTCAGTCTCGCACGCAATACCGTGTATAAAACTATTCGACTGTAACGGGTATAAACCGACGCAATACAATAATTGCGGTCTGGAAAAGGTCGACTCGCTACGAAAGTTTAAAAACCGGGTATTTTCTCTACGCTCGGGGGGAGGGGACGGACGATCCATGTCACCGGGTTCCTGCAGCGTCCGTGCAAACGTCTCGACTGAGTTTTCGAAACGTAACAATGTACCGAAATACCGTCAGCATTACAGTTTATGAAATATCCGGAGCCGATTTTAAGCCCGGGCGAATTTCTCTTAAGACACAGTCGACAAGAACGCAACTAGTAAATAATTTTGAAATCTATAGATTACTCTCTAAACGTTTAAAATTAAGGATACGTACATGACATTACAACACGGTTCTGTGATATGAGTACTTAGAGTATAGTTTAAAAACTGAGGCTAGCGATATTTTACAGACAAATTTTAAGAAAAATAAACAAACATTTGATGGCGGTAAAACCAATGAGCGGAAAAAATCGCATAATAATGAAATCCGAATGCAGTTGTCTAAAGACCTTATGTAGTTCCAAAGATCGCCGAGAGAAGACTTTTGTGGGCTGTCCGTGCCTGGCGAAGGCCAAGATCTAATCGAGTCAGACAGGTGATTGTAAAACACCCTATACTACAGGGAAAAGGCTTCTAGGAACGGCGAGGTTAACCGAATACGCGAGTGATTTGCCCGGGTACTATACACGCGTAGTGAATATTATTTGGGCGTTAACGTATCATACGCTATACATTATAAACATCGAAAATTCGGGTAAAACGAAACGTTATTATTTATTATAACACTATCGCGTAGTTATACGTGCGCATACCGCAGTGAATCTTAGCGGGCGTTAATAATATTTATCGCGTTTTTTTAACGCGCGCGATAATTATCATTATACACACCGCGCAGTGCCGCCAATATAATTAAACGCGTAATTATGTCGTCCGTCGAAATTTATCGTTTTCGGTACACGATAGTAAGTAAGGGATCGGTGTGCACGTGTGTGTGTGTGTGTGTGTGCGTGTCGCGCGTGTACTTACGCGGACTTACTCGTATAATAATAATAATAATAATATAATACCGCGTGACTTTCGGCATAAATCATCGGGTTACACGTCGGAATTCCAATTTTGGCGAATTTCTCAGCCCACGCGCTATGATGCCGCCGGGACGACCGGAGACTTCTGCGGT